GCGTTTACTGATCAAGTCGAACACGTAAATCTCGCCGAGAGCAACGCTTCGTTTTAAAGTCGAAAATGTGAATCCATTTCGGATGGCGTTTTGGTCAATCGGGAGCAGTTTCGAAACAAAACTCGAAAGCGCTATTATATTATATATCTTCTATGAAGCTCGCTGCGTCAGATTGCGCGGTCCTTTCATTTCATCAGAGTTAAAATTAAACAGAAACCACCATATAATTATGTTATCAATAATGAAATAAGGTTTGTGCTTAATTTTAGCTGTCCAAAACTCCTTACCAATCACATTTGAATTATGGCTTAACATTCTATTCTCAATCCCGTAGGGTTTCAGATCGATTGAAACATTTTAAATCAATAGTAGTGATGTGCAAGTTGGATACTTAGAAGCATCGGTATCGAATGGATACTTGAACTAAATGTATCGGATTCTTTGGAATCTATGTGTTGGGATTTTTGGGAATTGGGATTGAGGATGACGTATAACTAGCGGGGAATCCTACAGACAACAGTCACAACGTCTATGTAAATGTAGCATAGCGTACGGAGTTCGTACGAATTACAAATCAGCACGCTGCATGATTACAGATTTCTTTAAATTTTGAAGGATTTTATAATTTTACCGCTACTCGCTAGACCATTCCTGCGGACTCACTCTGAGGATAGTGGAGCGTGAAAAAAAAAAGGATCCAGAGTATCCAAGCATTTGAAAATAAAGTATAGTTCGCCTTACGAGTCTAGCACTAAGACGTCTGAAGGGCAAGGGGAAATAACGCCATTCATTTCGAGCTTTATGCTGCCTATTATAGGCGTGCGCGCAACGGTTTTAAATATTACTTTTTTCCTATAAATGAAGGTGTGTAACATAGATAAATATTAGGGTATTTTTTATTGGGAGTCGAATAGGCAATATTGCAATTTTTCTATCCGCTTTCTTTCCATAGTGCTAGACTCGTGCTGCGAACTTTATCGGATCCTTGAAATTTAACAAACATCACTGACTAGAAGCCACAGCAACGCGTGGCCGGGTTAGCTAGTTCCATATGATATGTGAACATCTTTGAACTTAAACTACCTGTATCTCGGATTCTATTCATAGTATCGGGTTGGGCCTCTGAGAACTTTTTATCAGCAAGTCAAGATATACCACATATCAAAATTTCATTGAGTTTGACAGAAAACCAAAAACCCATAAGAGGTGTGTAAATCTATTATGAAGTTGCGATAACGTCCTTTCTTGTGAGCTAATTAGAAATATTCAACAGATTTATAATGATGCATTTTCAATTTATTATTTTTTAGTATATTTTTTTATATTGGTCCGCTCACAGAAGGCAAAGTCTACATTACCTAAGCGGTACCAGTGGCGCACCCAGGGGGGCTTAGGGACAGGGCCCTCTACAGGCCGCCACCCCATTACTGTATTCTCGCGTTTAAAAAATGTAGCAACATCAAATCGTGGCACCCTGACACCACAAATTTTTGTTTAGATTTTCAGTCATAAGCCAAAACCTATGAATGCCTCCCCCCAAACATATTTTCTGGGTGCGCCACTGAGCGGTACCATGAGCCAAAGAAATTGAACAACTTAAGGTTAAACTGTTCAGGAAGTGAAGTAAGAGGCAGAGAGTTGCAGAGATGGGCAACTTTAGCCAACTTTACCACATAAGGATGTGATGGCCGTGCGGCGTGCGGTTCTTGTGGTTCTGAAATAACTTCTCCTAGCTGAAATAAGGCTGGGCAAATCTTCAGAACATCTTTCATGGTAATAGCGATAGGATATCGACAAGTCGGCCACCTTGCGTCTGATCTGATTTGAGCCCTATAAAGGAGAAGAAGTTGTTCAGTAGTAAAGAAGCTTTTTGCACGAAACGGGAAACCTAATTTTTGAGAAGCGGTTTTGGCGATCGAAGATACATGGTTTCATGGTCATGCCAAGACAATGGTCGACACGGTTACCCCAAGAAGAGGTACTGAGGAATTGATAGAAAGGTTTTGTCCCGACATTCTTGGAATTGGGTTATCATCGGCGGAAGATTTCTTATTTGAGCATACTTTTGCTTGAGTTTGAGAAGCATTGAATTTGACTAGGTTGTTAAGGCTCCATTTGGTGATAGTGTCAAGTCACTGTAGATAGAGTGAATTTGTTCTCGGGCGACGCATGTGGGAGTGGCTGCAGTAAGCGGTTTGTTGGAAGAGAAATATGCCCTCAAGCTAGAATCATCCGCAAAGCTGTATATGGTGGTTCTTGTCACATTTAATAAATAAGTTATAAAAATGAGAGACAGTGTTGATGGGGACAGAATTTAACCTTGGGAAACGGCGAAATTTATAGACAGTGTATCAGAAGACACATCTTCGACCACAACATGCAGTGACCTACCTTCCAAAAAACTCCCCAATGGCAAAATTCGTTCGGAAGACCATCATACGATGGATGTTTTCTGAGACCTTTGCGCCACACCTGATCAAAAGCTTTGGATATGTCCAATGCTTCAATTCTTGATTCGCCATGTTTTTTGATAGTCGAGTTCCGAATATGACTGTCGTACGCCAGCAGATCCCCTGTCCACTGTTGATCTTTTAGAACGAAACTCGTACTCTTTGTCAGAGATGTGCTTAGTGGCTTCGGGCATTTAACCAGCTTCAAGTTGACTGCCTTTCCGATTACGTTCGAAATTACGGATATAAGTGAGATGGGACGATAGGTAATTGCTAGGAAGACCGTTCTTGCCCTTTTTCGGGATAGGCTGCACTCTGGCACATTTCTAAAGCGACGAGAAAACGCTTCGACTGTAAGAGAGTCAAAACAGTTTGCAAAGAACTGAAGCCAATTCTTATCGTACCTTAGTTTTGCGGGCACTTGGTGGAATGCCGTGGGGATCTTCTAGTTTAAAAATACCACAATGGAAGCATGAGCAGCTCTAAAAATATTCAAAATAGGAGTCGGTATTTCAATGTTACCTTAAAATCAAGACTTCCCTAAGTTACCCTTAACGTTAAGGTGGACTTGAAATCAGCTCATTCAGGTGGCGTAAGATCCACCTTGAATTAAGGGCAGTTTGATATACGGTGAAACTTGTATTGAGGATGAGTTAACGTTATTAAGGGCCCCCAGAGACGCTCGGTTATTTTGCACAGGCCGACTGCGCAAACCTGTTTTGTGCAGGCATATCGGCACGTCTGTGGATATTTCCGGCCGACTGTGCCTGAGTAAATTCAAGATCTGCTTGAAATTTGGCCTGCACAAACCATTTTCAATATAGAGAAAAAATATCCTTGAACTGCGTTTGTGGAAAGAACTGTGCTGAAAACTGAGCGTGTGTGGGGACCTTAAGGTGACATTGAAATACCGGCCCTAAGAAAATCAAATAATTAGGAGTTATAAATAAGAAATCACAAGTGAATTGGTGGAAAAAAAGACTTTGACAAACGGCTACCTGGAATTGGAAGACCTTACTCACTCTGCGCAGATCGCTCTTTCAATAATCATAACATGAATTATTTTATTCAAGACGTAGAATTTACCTTTTCTAAAAATTAGCAGTTGTTAGAAGCTTTAAAAAACAAAAAGCTCTAAGTCACACTTTCAAAAATCAGGCATTATTCATTTGAATGTGGTTTATTTAATTACTCTTTTTATTGTGTAAATTATAGTTTATATTTAGCTAATAGAGTCAACACCAAATAACATCAAAATGGCAGTTGCAATTACTATTCATACCAATGAAAATGCAAATATTGTAACGAGCCTAATGAGATGGATTTGTGTAGATATGGAAAATCATTTGGGCTCTCGAAGCTATTATACAATATAATTTACTTAAATATTATTATTATTCCACCAATTATTTTGAACGCAAATGGTGCTGGTTTACGCTGACTAGCCATTAAAATCGGGTTCTATTAGTTTATCGTTTTATTTTTATTATTGATTGAGTGGAATATACAGTGAGCATATAAAGGTTGGAATACCTGAAATCCATAAAATATACAGGGTTGATATATTTCAAAAACTCTCGGACACATCGCTTTTTTAATTTAGTGGCCGTTTTTTTGATGATAATAGCATGTATACAGGGTGACCCATAAACAAGTTATGACAGCTATCTTTAATTTTTTAAATGAAAACACCATTTTTTTATTTAGTTTTCAAATTCTGCATTAAATTCTAATCTGAACCTATTTTGTGTAAGTATCATGCCCTAGTCTTATACCTATCTTCAACTGTTTCGGAAATATTGACAATTGAAAATTGACTTTTTTGCAACTTTGACAGGCTGTAAAACCTAAACTTTTATATTCTCGTCTTAGTTCTCCACGATTAAAAATTTCGGTAAAACTTAATCTCCGATTAAAATCGAAGTGGGTGTCAAATGATAGTTTATGGAAACCTAAGACAAGAATGCATGATCAATTTTGCTCTAACCGTTTATGTCTTACAGCCTGTAAAAGTTGCAAAAAATTCAATTTTCAACTGTTGAGTGCAGTTGAAGATAGGTATAGGACATGATACATAAATAGGTTTTGAATTTAACGTAGAATGTAAAAATGAAATAACAAATTGGTTCTCTCATTTAAAAAAGTAAAATTAGCTGTCATAACTTGTATATGGGTCACCCTGTAAACATGATATTGTCTCGAAAAAACGGCCACTAAGAACGAAATCATTGTGTCGAAGGTTTTTTAAAAAAGTTCAACCCTGTATATTTTATGGATTTCATTCCAACCTTTACGTGCTCACTCTATAACTACTCATAATTTTATCATTTCTAATGGAATTGAAATACCCTGCCTAACCCTACTAAAAAATATTTGCTTTAATTTCACGCCTAATATACCTACTATTGCCGATGCATTCGATTGAAGCATTTTTAATTGCTCATGCAGCATAAAAGAAGTATTTTAGTGCATCAATATTAATCACTAGGCCAAAGGCGTGCATGAAACTAAGGATGAGATTGGGGATATGCTACAGATGATACTACTTACCGTCCGATTAGCAAGATTTTTCACTCTGCAGTTTAGGTAAGCAGTCTTTCCTAATAGTGCTGTGACGTTCTTTGAAGCGGCTGCATCGAAATGCGGCCCTCTTGTGGTCGCCTCTACAAGCGAATTGCCTCCTCCACCAGCGCCTTGTACTGCCGAATTTACTGGAAGAAAAGCAAATCTTTAATATTTCGACCAGTAAACAATAATTAAAAATCTTCTGGTGCTCAATTTTTGACACGCTTTCTAGTGAACGGTGCGTTAACGAAGGCTACGGGAATTTTCAATTCTTGACGACGCTTTGTTAAGCACTTTTCGCGTCTTCACTTATAAGCGAATGCACGATATATATAACAGCGTAGTACCAGTCGCGGTCGGTGAATAATGACAATAAAATATAACCAATTCCCATTTAATTTGACAATTTTGACGTAACCAATTTTTGTGCTGAATTATGTAAATTACAAATAACTAAGAAAATGTCGAAGAAAAGTGATAACTGTATAAAATATTGCGTTAAAGCTTTCGAAAGACGAAAATATTTAGAAACTGTCTTTCTGATAACACAAAAAATGCATTCCTTGGACGACGTTGCGCATTATTTAACTACCGTTGTTCAACTCTTTCTAGGTTTTCAATAACAATAACAATAATATGTATTAAATGATCCATTATACTTTTTACCTTTTTATAAGCCAAATGCTTATAATAACAATAATAAACTCACGTCAGGATGACGATTAATTGAAAAAAAAACTTGTCGCATGGTGCTCGCTGGGAAGCGAAGGCAGCTAACGTGCGCTCGCTAAAAAAGGTGTAACCAAAAATTTGGTTTTTCCATTTTTCGCAAAAAACCGAATAATGTTAACGTTTTCGTTATTTAGCAAGTGAAAAATTGAGCCTCTGGATTGATTCACTGAATTTGATTTAAGATTGCTTAGAAATCTTATCTATTATTTGAATATAAATTGAATTCACTAATGGAACGTCGCCGTTTTATACTTTATCTGAATATCCGTCATTGATTGCAAGTTTATCGCGGCGTGACATACAATATAGGTTAATATGTGTAGGGTACACATAGTGCCAGGCCGTTATTTATCCTCACCCCGACTATGAAATTTAAATGATCGCCTTGCATTGTTTACAGAACCCCAAAGGGCTGCGGTCGGGTACTTATGACACATTTCTATTAAAGGGGTAACATCTCAATCGTTTTCTGAAAAGATACTTTTCCTCATTAGAGACTAAATTGTTATTTGGGTTTCTCCAGTGCCTAAATACTTAAGTGGTAATGAACGCGGCTTGACTGTAGTCCTTAGAGAAATGCTATGTTTCTATTATTGAAAATTTAATTGAATTGGTAATAGTATTAGATAAGATTATCTTCACACTCGCGTTATTATTCTTTGTGGTTTGCTAACATTTTGATATGGTTATGGCATAAGTATAAAGAAAAGGAATAAGTTATGATATTATAAATAAACTCATCACTTATAAAATTTTGAAAAAAAATGTAGGTATCTATAGAATATATTGATAAATTTGTTGTTCTAGATTACTTTTATGCGCTGACCTTACATTCTTCAATTCTTTTTAATCCTTCCACAGCAGGGTTTTTTTTTTGACAATAATAAAATCCGAGATGTGGTCCTAAAAACGACGATAGTAAAACACGACAAAGTAAACTTTTCTGAAAACATTAAATGATTGATGTAGGTATAGTAGATTTGAGTTATCTGTCGTAGAAATTACCTTTTCCTTCATACATGCTGTGATAAAAAAAACTCTAGATATACCTGTTGATTTTTATAGCAAGAAGATGCATACATTTTGTATTATAATATTTGTCTAGAATCCAAGCCAAGTAAGTAATTCATAATTTGTGGTACTATGACAGAAATTTCAAAATTCGTAGGTACACGTTGGTATTCATAATTTGTCGTATAGTGACAGAAATTTCAAAATTCATACACGTTGGTATTTAAAATTTGGTATATCGTATATCGACATAATATAGGTATTAATTCCGAAGGGAACAATTTTTTCTGAACTCCTAAATACCTAATAATTAATTACTCAAACTATTTATTATCCTGGTATCTTGGGACAGAAGTGTTACATTAGCAACAAGTGTTCAATTTTGTAAATTGACTAATCGGCAAATTTCGCGAGAATGCATTTTCAGCATTTTAAAAAATCCGTGATAACATTAATATTTGTATAAAACATATTAAGCTTAACATATAGGTCATCGCCATCATAGGCGATCACTCGAGACCGAGTATGATTATCTTCTATTTTATTCTTATGGTCATCGATTGTGTGTTTTCTGATGATTCTCGAGCCGCACACTCTCCCACAGTCTTGGCACACCCAGTCTCTGGCAGCATTGTCTCTTCCTCTCTGCTGTCGCTCCATCCTGCGGCCCCTCTTTCCGGTCTCGTGTCTGCCTCGCTGTTCTTTGAAAATGTGTGATCCGTCGTGGACTACTCGGAGCCATGAGGGCCTATCATTTGCCGTCGTCTTCCAGTTGCTGGTATCGATGCGGCACTTTGCCATATTCGCTTTAGTCATCTTTGTAGCGTTTTTGTTGACCTCCCTGATTTCTCTCTTTCAGTTGACTGTAGAGAATTGGTCGTGGAAGACGTGTTTCGGGCATGCGGACGAGTTGGTGCTTAATAATGAGGGCTTCCATGCAAGTTGATTAATTGGCTTCCTCTAAAATACTAATGTTCGTTCATCGGTCATGCCATTTAATCCATAGGATCCTTCTCAGGCATCGCTGGTGGTAGTTTTCTAGGCTGTTTATGTGTCTTCTGTAGCCTGTAGCTTCGCAGCCATATGTAAGTGTTGGTATTACAACAGCATTGCAGACGCGATGTCGTGATTGTCCCTCTCGAAGTCGCCCGGACGCCGAGTTGCGTCACTGGTTGCATTCGCTGACAGATGGCTCTCAAGGTATGGGTAGTGATCTACGTTCTGCAAAAAATGCTCAATTATAGTTATATTTGGGGCTTGGGAATTAGTGCCCGCTGCAGGTTGGTGTAGAATCTGCGTCTTGTTAAAGTTGAACTCTAGGCCGATTTTCCTATATGCCTGGTTGATAATTGCCTGAAAATCTCCCTCTGTATTGGCCATCGCGACGTTATCATCCGCATATTGAAGTTCAATTATCGATGTCGTCGATACTTTCGGCTTGGCTCGTAATCGTTCAGGTTAAATAAGCCGCCATCAAGCCTATACAGTATTTCCACTCCTGACGGCAGGTGACCCTCGACAGGGTGAAGTATGGATCATATAAATAGAGAAAATGAAGTCGGTGCAATAACACAGCCTTCCTGTTTAATGCCTGTAGTTATTTGAAAAGACTCTCTTTGACCATCGTTGCTCAGGACGGTTGCATTCATAATATCAGGCAGCAGGAGGAGAATCTGGAAGTACTTTTGCGCACACTGAACCTTTGCTAATATCTTCCAAAGAGCTTCTTTGTTGACCGAATCAAATACTTTCACAGAATTGTAACCCCTTTTATTAACAATTCAACAGGAGGCCCATACTATGCTCAGCTTGCTCAGCGAATAAATATTAGGGGGTGGGTAGATAGTCTAATAAATACAGAATGGCAAGGGCGCCACTGAATATTAAAAAAAAAAAATTAAATCACATAAAATATTGGGGTGTAAAAATTCAGAAACACAGCTAAAAAAATAATCAGCTAAAGGTAATTGGTAATTCTGAAAAGGAAATAAATACGGCATATAACTCAACCAAATCTTGACACAGGTAAACCAATAGAACAATTAAGTAAGTAAAGGTGAGTGAAGGCTGTGTGCACATTTCTATATAGAGAAGCAAAAACCAATTTCGTATTCTGTGCATGAAAATTATTTATTAATAGCAGAGCGCTTTTGGCCTTAAGCCATCCTCAGTGCTTCCTGAGAACAAAGAAATAACTTTGTTATGATTTTAATTTATTTTGATTGAATTATTTGGTTAATTACTTACTTTGTCAGGAGTACATTTGAGTCAAATTTTATAAAACAACACATAGTCTGACGTTCTTACATTTAAAATAAGGTGTATATTCAGAATCACAAGATTTAGGTGTAAAGGGCCCTAGGGGTTGAACTTCTTGTTTTTTTTTTATTCCATAAATTTATTATTTCAATGATTCCTATCACAGAAACGTGTTTGTTCTTCGATAATTTAATAATGACGGTTTAACATATGGAAAATGATGGTAAATGATGTTTTAAGACGAATTGCGCATGCGTGAATTACGAGGGCAATTCAGATTCATATTGCTCAATTTATTATCTATATTCGAATTTTTTTAAATAAATTTTCCTTTTAACAACATTTTTTATTTTTTAATTTTATATAGTTAGGCTAAAAACTATTTTAACAAATTTTAAATTGAAAGATTGATTGCAGAATTCTGCACTGGTTCAGATATGTGGACGATTGTCTTTGTTTCTTGGACGGTGATAATCGAGGTGCCGAAACATTACTTAACAAACTAAACATCATTCACCCTTTTACCTTAGAGATAGAAAATGATAGGAAAATCAATTTCTTAGACGTCACAATTGAAAAAGAACTGAACAATCTACAATTTCAAATATACAGGAATTCAACACAAACTGACCACACAATTCCACAATCTTTAAACCATCCACAACCACACAAGCTAGCAGCCTTCCACTGTTACATAAATAGGCTACTTAATATACCATTATCTAAAGACAATTAAAACAAAGAATTGAGAATCCTGAAACAAATTGCCTACAACAACCAATACGACCCGAACATGATGGACACTTTGATTAACGAGACTAAACACAATAGATTGAAAAAAGAAATCTACCTCCTTTCAAGTGAGATATCGATATATGTTTCCATACCATTTATAGATCAAAATATTAGTTCAAAAATTTCAGAATCCATTCGCCATTCTGTCCAAAAAGTCAATATTTCTTACAAAACAAAAAATAATCTACATACACACTTAGTTTATTCAAAGGAAAAAATAGATACCCTCTCCAAAAGCGAAATTTATAAACTAAATTGTAATACTTGCAACAGCACATATAGAGGTAGAACTTGCAGACCTCTTCAAACACGTATTCATGAACATCTAACCAGATCCAATTCAGCCTTTGGTGAACACGTCCACTAAACACGATTTCAGCCCGAAATCAAATTCCAGAATAATCCACAACGTTTCTTCAAAAAACTTCAATAGACTGGATTTTATAGAGGACATTGAAATACAAAAGGAACTATAGGACAATTGCTCTTGTTTGAATACTCAAGTAAATTTGAATAGAATTTATATACCTTTGCACAGACGCCTTTTAAATTGAATGCACTAAAAAAAAATTGATCACTCAATGATGGGAGCAAATTCAACAAACTCATCAAGTTCCTCTCTCACAACCCACATCAATACTTAAATCAAATCATCGATTTCAATTTTTTAGCCTGACTCTATAAAATTTAAAAATAAAGAATGTTTTTAAAAGGAAATTTTTTAAAAAAAAAATTTCGAATATAGATAATAAATTCAACAATTTGAATCTGAATTGCCCTCGTAATTTACACATGCGCAATTCGTCTTAAAACATTATTTACCATCTTTTTCCTTATGTCAAACCGTCATTATCAAATTATCGAAGAACAAACACGTTTCTGTAATAGAAATCATTAAAATTATAAATTTATGGAATAAAATAAAACAAGAAGTTCAACCCCTAGCTCCCTTTACACCTAAATGTTGTGATTGTGATTATACACATTATTTTAAATGTAAGAACGGCAAACCATGTGCTGTTTTATAAAATTTGACTCGAATGTACTCCTGACAAAGTAAGTAATCAACCAACTAATTTAATCAAAATAAATTAAAATCATAACAAGGTTATTTCCTTGCTTTCAGGAAGCACTGAGGATGGCTTAAGGCCGAAAGCGCTCTGCTATTAATAAATAATTTTCATGCACAGAATACAAAATTGGTTTTTCCTTCTTTCCAATCAAGCAAGTTTCAAATTAAATTTGTGTATATTTCACAGTGAGGTCAAAAATCAAGCATTGAATAATTTCAAAGTATAAAATCAATCACTGGTAAAACACTTTAAATAAAATCAATAAATAGAGGTTAACTTTCAGTCAGTTTCATCAAATTAAAAAAAAAAAAAATAGTATTATATAGATACAATGTACCTCGATATACTTGCCATATAAATTCATTAACAGTTGCTGGCCATACCATTATCATGACAAGAGAATATAAAGATCAAAGTTTCCAGAAAAAAAATAAATGATTGAAAATTGTATTGATAAATATGGTCAAATAAATTCAATAAAATCAACTTGCACCTGTAAGAAATCGAAAGTTGGGTTAAATAACGGTTAAATGGTCAGGAGATATAATAGAAATGCTCAAATATATAAGTTATAGGACCCGCGGTTAAAAATTGATCAATTTTCGACAATGTAGGTACTTACTTAGGTAATAGTTTTAAATTTAGAGCATGTTGTCCAACCTTGACTTCTGTTCAGATTACTGATTGATTATCATTGATAAAAGATGAGTACATTCTTTAAATATGGCGGTGCTGAAAATTAAGTAGAGATAAAATCTATAGTAAATACTGTAAAACAAAAATCGGAAATAATATTTAAAGTTCACTTAGGTGTCCAGAATATGAAATTTAAAACATTCTTAGAATATTGAAATTTAAAACATTCTAATGTCATATCAG